CAACGCTCGGGACGAGGTTATCGCATCCCTCGCCCTACGGGCGCGCCTGGCGAACACGTTCGATGGTCCGAGCACGCCCGCAAACGCCACGTCCGGTGGAAATACGTCCCTGCAGATAGTGAGGCGTCTTCTCGAAGAAGGGAACGAGGCAGACGCGAAGATGGAGATCGTGCGTGCGGCGGCGGAGATTGTTCGGGCCGATGTCGATCAACATCCAGATCTCAAGAATGCCCGCATCCGACGGCAAAAGCACAAGTACAGCGTGGAGTTGGCCGCACCCGTGAAACCAGTGCGAGATGCCCTAGCTGAGATGCCCCCGACATTGGTTGGACTCTTCCAAGGTATGACGAACATGCCCCTGTACCCCGAGATTACCGATATAGGGAGTGAGGATCCCGGCCGGGGCTGGGCGTGGGATGAAACAAAAACAGACGGTCCACAGCCAAGCGCAGCGGGGAGTGTACGGCGAGAGGATGATGGGAGCGATGCAGCCGACGCGCTTGAAGGAGCCGCCTGTGAGCGGCAAGCCCCCACTCGCGATGCCTCCCGGGCAGAAAAGGTGGATTCTGTTGGGCCGACTTCCGAGGCAGCTTCCACTTTCATCGAAAAAAACAACCAGGATAGGCGAGGCTTCGCACGGCGTTTGTACATACTTTGCAAGTGCACGGTGAAGGTGATTTTTCCTGGTCGACACTTGACAGCGGCCATGGTCGACTACGTGGACCTCATCCGAGTAGCCATCGTCAAGATTGGCAAGAAGAGGACGACAGACACCTGCCCGACTTATAGGTCGATGCGCGAGCAATGCCTGAGGATGAAGTCTGTCGACGGGTACTGGCAAGATGGATTCAAAGACCACATGCCAGAACGAGACTTCAACGGAAAGGGTTGGGGTATCAACCCCAAGGCGAAGGGCAGCAACGCGTCAGCACTCACAGGAGAGAATTGCGTTATGTGAATGTCGGAGCATTCTTACATCGGTTCCGATGGGAAAATGGTCACGATGACGTGCGGTTGCGACCCGGTGAAGGCCTTAAAGCATAACTGTAGGGGGTGCGGGTGCAAAGGGCGCAAGTGCTCCCTCGCTTGCGGCTGCAGGGGCCGTTGCCATTTCGCTCGCAAACCTGTATACCCGGTGCACCGACCGGCCAGGCCACGTATTCCGGTCCTGCCGGTGCTGCACTCCGCAGTCGTTGCCAGCGCCATGACGGCTCTTCTGGCGTCCCGGAACGCTAGAACGGACGAGGAAGAGGAAGACCCGGACGATCCCGGTTCGGACGATGACGACACCGGCCGTTCGGACAGTGACTCGGACGATTTTCTGGAGCTGGAAGCGGAAGAGTCGGCTGACAGCGACTTAGACTCTGATGAGTCCGACCCTGGGTGGGGCGGTGTCGGTGGGGTCAATGCTCAGGACGATGCAAAGTCTGAGGGCGAAGCATGGTTCTGACCGAGATTCATCAGGTGTGTTTGGCCATCCTATCGCTGTTCATTTTTCTCCTTGTGTAGACATGTGCGAGTGTTGATGTCGCCTATATTTTGCTCGTCGCCTAGTGATCATGTTGGTGTATCGCGCCGGTGCCATACCGAGCCCACATGATGCGGTCTGCGTATCGTGTTTCAGGTAACAAACTTCCGCGAGATGATTTCGTCCAATGGCGGCTCCCCCGTTCGGCGTTGGTCAGGACTTACTGGCTTCGACCCCCTGCTTGGGTTTCGAGCATGTTTCCGGGTGAAGCGGATATCGGCTGCGGCAACAATGGCGTTGGCGCAGGGTTTAGGCAGTGGCACCGCGGGGTTTCGGGAGTATTGATTATGTTTCCCTGCGCTTATTGTTCCCCCGCGTCCGGGATGTAGCGATTCAAGTGCTTGTATTTTCTCAAGGTTACATGTGCTGTATATATATAGTGTCGGATTCCTTTACTCGTCAAGTTTAAAGTTCTTGCGTTGGGCCTACGGTATCATCATGGTGTGCACAAAGATACACACACGGCAAACGACGTTGTTTTTGGAGCTTCACCCTCATTTTTATTTAGTGTATATTCTCTGCGTTAGTAGATCCACCTGACGAATTATCTCACGTTCATTAAAGTTGTTAGCAAATCTCTTGTTCGTGCGGGCGGGGGAGTCTGAATGGAGACACGCAAACTCACGTAGCGGTACTTCGAATATGTTGTGTTTCGGTCTGTTTCGTTCTTTACCTGTTTTCGAAAGACGCACGACGACACAACTNGGGGGGGGGGGGGGGGGGGGGGGGGGGGGGGGGGGGGGGGGGGGGGGGGAGTCTGAATGGAAACACGCGAACTCACGTAGCGGTACTTCGAATATTATGTTGTGTTTCGGTCTGTTTCGTTCTTCACTTGTTTTTGAAAGACGCACGACGACACAACTCCATTAACCAGTCGGATTTCACCGGAGTACAAAAGGGATACATGCCCGTGCGGGCCCCAACGGGGCATCCTGACGGCCGCAGCTGCTGCTGCGTGCGTGTGCGCCGTATTTTTCTTACGTGACTCTGTCTTTCGATGTGTGTGTATGGCGGCGCAACACTACAGGACACTGTAGGAGATAAAGTAACCGTTTTCAGTTCAAATATGGACCCACGCCATTTCCAATTACTTCACCTGTACTACGTGTTGCACCAAAGTTCAAATTGCAGTAGAACCGCAAGCCTCACAGCAAGCCCATCCTGTGTCTCATACCACGAGTAGCGCGTCCAAAGATGAGCACGCTTGATCCGCGCAATACCTCTTTTTCCAAGCGATAAGTACCTCTCTGTCTCGGAAGCACTCCTGGGCACAGCAGTACTCGATATGTGTACTCCTCGTGTCATTGTTCATAATTGTGTAAAGTTTCGTGTCGATCGGTTAGGAATAGGGCGCGTTCTCGTGTTAAGCTTGCCGCGCGTGCACACCACAGGAGGTTCGGCCGCAGCAGGGGCATGGATCACATTTTTTCGGCAGAGTCTCGGAGCCTGCGCCGAGCAGTTCTCGCGCTATTGTCAACGAAATTCCGTGAAACCAGCTTTCCTGAATAGCTACTGGACTATTTTACTGCTGTACACCGACAAAGGTGGCAGTGCGGACGTCTGATCGCCGGTGGGCTAGCCAACTGCCATTTTTTGTGTTGAGCCGCTTATTTTATTTTTCAGGCGTGCAACACTGAAACAGCCACCGACACAGCAGGGGGCACACGATTGGGATGGGAGAGTGTACCAACCCAGATGTTGCGGATTTTGCACCAGCTCTTGCTCTCGGGACACAGCGCTGCCAGCACTGCGTACATCGTCTCAGCGTCAACGGTTGGTCCTTCAATCGAAGACGGAGAGCGAAGCTGTCTACCCAGACACGAAATATACGCGAAGGCATGCCGGTGGAGTGCTGAGAGGAGAAAGAATGGTTCGGGAGTGCATGCATCCAGATTGCACGAAAGAGCCTACCTTCGGTACGTTTCAACATCGAATGGTATCGAACATACGCTGTTGCTGGAGTTTTGAGGGGTGGTCCACCATGTGCATTGAAGCATAGATGGAGGTCTCCGAAATCAGCTTTTGCTCATATGCTGCTGTTTTTGAAAATATACAATAGGACAGACCATGAGGCCGTTGCACCTGTGTTGCAGCCCGTGGAGAAAATGAAAAATGGTCTTATTTTTTGTTCCTGACAGCAAATACGATAGCACGGTGCCCCCTATAATCTTTTTTGTATGGGATTTGAGGTTATTTTGGAACAGCTCTAGCTGTAGGGCCGATCCAAATTTCTAGATCACGGCAATGGAATCTGTGGTGCCCGAACTCCACTGGACCCGAACGCCAGTGATTGTTATAGACTTTCTGGACCGCGACAGCGCTGTGAAGTCTGGCCAGAGGCTCCGTGACGACATGAAAATGGAGACGGCCTTTTTTTTTTCCATGCGCTAATTGCGCCGCTGCCAACTACTCGTGTTTGGAGGCAGGAGGCAGTTAGCTGTCGATTCTAGGTGACCTTTGCAGACCCATGGAGGGCGATATTATGCTGTGATCCAAAATTATATCGTTTGCTTTGAGTTCTGTGGGTGTGGGACGAAGTCAAGAAGGATGTAGTCCCGTTTTCGGACCGCGATGACCTGCGTAAGTTTGTCACCAAGAGAGACGAAAAACAGGGCGTTCGCAACAGCAACCGATCGGCAATACAGTAGCGGCTACGGTTTAAGAGAACTTATTTAAGAGAAAGTACGGATTTAAGAGAGAGGAATTGGCTTGTACCAATCAAAATCGATTTAAGAGAAATTTCCTATTGCAGCTGGGATTTTTCTCTTAAATCGAACAATATGGAAACCACGTGGACACACACACACATCACACACCCACACAGCTGCAGACACCATGCCCTGCGCGGCGGGCAGTCGCTGCACGGCTGTCCCCGATCACACGCCAGGCCCGCCGGCGTTCACAAATTACCAATGTAGAGGAGTCTGCGGGCAGTACCTCCATGGCACCTGTGGTGTGGTGGACCCTCAGGGCACCTCCGAGATGCATCGCATCTGCCACAACTGCCTGTCCTCCCGTTGGTTTCTTGGGTTTGTGTTATTTGTACGGCGAGTGATGTTTTGATATTGTGAAGCTCTTTTTTTTTCGTTGACTTGTGTTTTTGTCGGGGGTTTAAATCGATGGGATGAGAGGTATGAGGGTGTTATGTTGAGGGTACGGTGGGAGGAAGGGGTGCATTGTGTAAACGGGTGCGTCGTTCTTGAGTGCTGGTGCATTCGTTGCCTCGTGTTGTCCTTCTAGAAGAGGTGCGACTATGAAACACAGCTATAAAACAACTCAACCAAAAGCCTTTTACGTGTCCACGTGCAAAATGTGCATCGCATCACACAACGATGATTTATTTTCCGAACGCAGATCCACCAAAAGCGTACCACGTACAGCAGTACTTGGGTCCACGTGCTTGCCAACCAATTTAATGAGCGGTGTTTGGAGGTAGCCCGACGTGGTAACGCTAGCTGCGCAAGTGACATGCATGATACGCTCTCTTCATGACCTATTTTGGCATTCGAGTGTAGTCAGTGCGCGAGAGTCCCTGTTTCACGACCTTTAGTTTTGTCTACGATACAAGAGAATATTCTCTTATAGTGAGATACTGTTTAAGAGAATTCTCTCTTATACCGTAGCCAACACGATATAACAGAAAGCCGGATTTAAGAGAGTGAAATTGGCTTGTACCGACCCTCTCTTAAACCGTAGCCGCTGCTGTATGAAGTAAATCTCGAGCTGAAAGCAAATTCACGGCGAGAAAACTGCTTGCGGACGTAGGTTGGAAGTGTGTTCAACTGGTCTGCCAGTTTCATGGAGATCCGCGGTCTTTGCCAGTAGTATACCAGTGGTGGCTATGGCTAACGGGGTGACCTGGGGTGGGCTGAGCAGCAATAGTTCAGAGAGGTTCCGGAAATTTTGGAGGTACCCAGTGTATTTTTGCCGGCATATTATTTTCATATTCCATGGGCTGCAACGCAGGTGATTAACCCTCACGTTACTGGGTTTATTTGTCTTTTTTTTTCGGCTCACGCAGCAAATCGACCCAAGATATCATAAGCACAAACTGGATAAAAATCAGCATACAATTATGTACTAAGATAGAAAGGGGTTATATTGCATGCTATCGTGCATGTAGTCCCGAAAACCCTTTCCCTTGAGCGGAAATTGCACACAGCACACGAACCCCCTTTCACTCCCAATATTTTGTACCACACACACCGCAGTGATGACCACATCAGGCACCGAGGCAGTACGTTAGCATCGGCTCCGGTGTGCGTTATCTCTACTCTACATCGCGCAAGCAGGACCCTTAACATCTTGAGGGTACTGCACGTACCCTCCCGTGGTATTTTCCGTTTGGATCTTACAGCAGTAGGCAATAGATTGGATCTGGAAAGGAAGGACATATCTGCTCCACATCAGAGACATTACTGCTTTACAAATGGTAGTACTGCGTGTACCCCTGCGCGCATTGCTCATATGCGTGCTTGTGTGGTGGGCTGCCTATTGCTCTATCTGCTGGCCTTTACGGCGCAGGGTTTTTTCTCTTTGGCGAGGCACGCCAGCGCTCGGCACACAAAGTTATCGTACCGCTATCGTGCACGTAGTCACATACGGGTTTACGAAGTGCCAAAAAGCAAAAACGAAAAAATCAAGATCAAAATCGAGCTCTGATTGGTCGAAATTCTCATACCTACTGACGACGCCTTTTGATTTTCTGGAAGTTCTTCTCTCTGGGAAGAAATCCCCGAGGGACGTTTCTTTTCAAAATCGAAAATCGGGCTGCGCCGTGCAGGAAAGGGTAGTTGCAATCTCTCTCCACACTCACGATACCCCACGGCATCTAACCTTGTACGAGAAAGATGGTGGGTAGAGCTACCTCCCGTCGCGTGTCATTGCTAATGTTGTTGCTTCTTCCTTCGAAGTGTTGTCGCTGAAAAACTAAACTGTGAGCAGACATTCGGCGCGAACTTGAACTAACCGCACTCCGACGTGGATATGTTAGGGTCCACCAAAACTTTTTTCCCGGTACGCACGATACCCCACGGTAGCAGACCTTGGGCTTGAAAGATGGAGCAGGGAGGTACCTCGCGCCGCGTGGCGTTGCTGTTGCTGTTGTTTCCCTCTTCGGAAAGTTATCGATGGATAACCAAACCTGTGGCGGTCCACAACACCGAACTTGAAGTGACCGCTCGCAACCGTTGGCATTTTCGCTTCAACACAATCTTTTTTCTCCGGCGCATTCGGCACCTCACGGCGCCAAACCTTGGCATTGCCCAACAGCCCACGGTACCAGCTCCTTCCGAATACCGTTCTTAATGCAAGCCGTTCTTTCTTTGGCGAGATATCGGCTAACACGTGAACAGAAGAGCGCAAAACCTACCCAAGAATAATCACCGCGTCGCTGCTGGCTCTCTTTCCCTGGTGCCATTTTTTGTTTTTTTTGCCCCATCTGTCTCTTATCAACGTTAACATGGTCGACCCCATTTTTCAGTTTTCCACAATTAACGGAGTTCCATTTTGATTTTGTGCCCGTTTGGAATTTGATTTTTAGCTCTTCGTTAGCATTCGCCCAGAGCTAGCTCACGTTCTGCTTTATGTCCCTCACATCACCCGTTTCTCCCACAGGTCACCTCTTTCAAACTTGCCATCAACGAATGTCCCGCAGATCACCTGCACAAAACAAGGGTCACAGGTCACCCGTGTCCCACAGATCAGCTATGGTGCAAAAATAGCCCGATCACCTACCGTACGTAGGTCATGCAGTAGTAGCCTGCGCAGGGTTTTCGTATGCAGTAAACGTGTTGGATAAAGCATACATTGGGTCCCAGGCGACAATGGGGAGTTTCGCAAAAATGTTAAATGTCTCGTTTTGGTCAGACAAAAGGTCCAGACAATGTTGCCCAGAAAAAAAATGGTAGAAAAAGATCCAGACAGAGGCTCAGGTTTTGTTCGGCATGACGCGGCAATGGCCCACCGCTAGTTGGCCGAAAAACTTGCGCGCGCCGTTCCCCGCGCTTCTTCTTCTCCTGAAGAAAATAGGTTTGCTTCGGTGGGTGCTGCCATCTATCAACGAATGTTCCAGCAGCATCAAGCGGGAGTGTTTTTTCCGCAGAGAAACACCCTGTAGAGGCTTCTTGCAAGCAAACTCTTAGTCGTTTAGGTGGCGTCCTGCTTCAAGCTACCGAAAGCGAGAAGCGGCGGTTCAGCAGCAGCTAGCTAGCTGCAGCAGCAGCAAGGAGCGGCAACAGCAGCTTCAAGCTAGAACAATCAACATCACAGCGGTTTTTTCAGCAGCATTCCAAACCGCAATACCTGTGTGGAAGGAGATGGTGCCGATAGAGAGTATCACAAGGCAACTTATGGGCCATCTCCCAGCAGTTCGAGTGGCCTACAGTTCGTGGTCTGGGTGTTTTTCCTTAACCGGTTGTAGGCAAAAAAGTTTATATTCGTGAGACTGGTGAACCTTCTCTCATCCCACCCTCCCCTCGGTTCCTTCTACAGTAATCACCACATACCTACATATTTGACGCACACCTCCCGCTTCGGAGGAGGAGCAGGTCTGCCTGTCCAGTGGTGGTGGCATGAGGCTCGGACGAGTCTGTACCCTGCGATGCCATTTTTTTGTGATTTTGCTCTACTCTGGTGCTATCATTCTAAAAAATCTGGGCCTACCGAACCGGAATCCACGCCTCAGACAAAGTGGGGCTGGTGAGAGGGTTTTTGTTTTGAGCCCCTGCGCGGAAAGTGGGGAGGTCTCACAAAAGAACATTACCGGCTACATATTCCAAATAATCTTACCCTCTTTTCGTCTGAGCGTTTTATCTGACCCAAAAAATAAAATCCGTAACAGTCTAATTTCACACCAGCGTGAAACATTTTTGGAGGTTCAAAAACTATCACATGGGTGTCATACTGTAGGGTTTGATATTACATATTGTGTGTGACCTGTGTGACCTGTGTGTGCACTGAAAGGACTCCACCTCGTAGGGGTTGTGGTGACATGGAATGTTTGGTGATGACGGGGTTTGATAGTGTCACCCATGAGATAATGTGCGCTCACACGACCCAACCCACTGGGGGTGTGAAAACGAGATGGCGTGTTGTAAACACGGGGTATGATGGCGTTACACGTATCATATGCGGACCTCAGCAGCACGGGCGGCGCCAGATACAGTAGGTGTTGTTGCGGGAGTGTCAAGCAGTATTGGTTCTGCGGCGCCGGCCTCAGCAGCACGGGAGATGGCAGGCACAGCGGGTGCTGCGAGAGTCTCAGGGGCCGCAGAAAATAGTGACATTAGCTTGGGCGTGGCGCCGCCGCTGGAGTCTGTTTCACTGCAGTCTGAGCCGCGATGCTTTCAGCAGTATTGTGTGCTTCGTTCATTTCCGCTGTGTTGTCCGTCGCCATGGCTCTAGGGCAGGGTTGCGTGCGCTTTATGCTTGATCACGGCCTACCACACCGGTGTGGCAGGGGGCTCCGTGGATATGTACGTGCGGCTCAACGTACAGGGTGTGTTATTCTGTGATCGTGCGACGTATCGGTGCTTTTGTTTTTCCGGGTTTTCTGTACGTTCGGGAGGGTTATGTGGGTGGGTGTGGTATCTATATGTCACCCACGGTATGTCCCGCAGATCATGTCCGGCAATCACTTCGGTCAAAAATACCCGGATTACGGATGTCCCACAGATCACCTTGGAGCAAACACACTCACATCACAGATCACATATGTCCCACAGAACACCAGGGAGCAAATCATCGTCAGATCACCTATGTCCAACCAATCATACGGAACATACCGACCGAAAGAGCTAGGTCGAACTGGTAGGGCGCTGATCTGTCCTGTATGTGAAATATACCCGGTTTGCAAGTCCCGACAACGGCTATTTTTTATTGTCTCAAGAGAGGACAACAAATTATTCGATTTCTTCCATAGATGGGAGTCCGTAGCAGGCTTTCAATGAATTTGTAGGGTTGTGCGGTAGTTATTGATGACGCGGGGCTCCCACGGCGGGGGCTTTCATGTTGGATAATTCTGTGCTCAACGACCTCGTGAGCGGTAATGGAATTTTCTACTTCGGTATTGCAATTTGGTTTTTCGACTACGTGTTTATTTCGGCCGAACCACGGCTTGTCCGGCAGTTGGGTGCATTCTGAACATACAGCACCGCAGGTGGTTTCATGCCCATTGGAGGCGGTTTGAAGGAGGTTCGAAAGGTGTCGAATGGTCAATGCACACCAATTGGTCCATAATTTTCCGAGCACCAAGGTGCACTTTTCTCGGGGTAGGGGTGGTTGTTCCGAAATCCGAAAACACCGGCAAACGCCCTGTCTCCAGGCGCAGGCCGATGCTGTTCTTCTTGTTATTGTTTTTCTTCGTTGTCTCTTTTTTCTTGAATAAGCGGATCATCTTAATTGCTTTTAGTAGGGTGGTGTAGTTTGCCGATTTCAAACATCTCAACGGATTTGAAGAGATCTCGGCATTTGCTGTGAAGGGTTTTTGTTTTTTCGCAAACATTCGGAATTGAATAAGTTATCGGCCATAAAACGGATCTAGGACGCCAACTTGAACATTTTTCTGTACGACATCCAGCTAGCCGAATTTAAGTAGACTGCGGTAAACGATTCCTGTCATCAACTCCCGTACGCGGTTTATTTATTTTTTCGAGAAAAACTCTTGATCGTGAGAATAGGGACATTTTGTTTAGGCGCCAAATGTATGCAGAGCACAAGTGATACCAATTCGGAGGGGATTTCAGAGGGAGCTCCGTGATGATAAGATAGGGGCACCGTGGTTACATAGGGGGCTCCGTGGTTGTAGAGGGGGTCCCGCGGATTGTACAATGACAAAAAAATGGTGCATTTTCTCAAAACAAAAAGAATCCTAAGCTATCGACGTAACTCGACAAGGTGATCACGAATAACGCTGTTTGTCTGTTCCTTTCGGTTTCTTTCAAAGTTATCGCACATCACGTAAAAGTAGAAGTTGCTGTGCATGAACCATAGACACGCCCTATTTACGACACCGCCGTACGGGGTGCTGTGGCCACATTCTGGGGCATATCTCAAAAACCGCTTGTCGGTTTGGGCCGAACGACGGCTTGTGTAACTGCTGGGAGCTGTGCGATTTTAGCTCAGTTGGTTTCGAACCCGTGGAGGTGACTTTGATTGCTACGCATAAGGGCGGTGCCGCAGATATGCCTATCTACGACAGCGCAGATAAGGCTATCTACGATACCGCCGAGAGGTGGGTCCACATCATCATATTGGGTCCTATCTCGGCAACCACCGTTCACGTTTGGGACAAACGATGGCTTTCGCTATAGCTGAGACCCGTGGCAACACAATGAACTTGGTTTCGAAACATTTCGAGCGGTGTCTTCCAAACCATTAGGGTAGGTCTTAACGAAGAAATCTGATCTCGAAAACACATTCAGGTTTGGTTATAAGACCGCAAGATCCACAGAAATCTCTTGCTGGTTGGATAAGAATTATTTCACCGGTCGAATATTTTCGACTTAAAACAGGACGACCCAAAACCAAGTCGGGTTTTGAAAAAAGGTGAAATGATTCAATCGAATCCCGACTTGGGTAAAAACCGCAACCGCAGTTGCGGGACCAGGGTCTACTCGCATGCAGGGCGCGTGCCCACCTACCCCCATCCACACGAACTCCATCCACCGCCGGGCACAGAGGAGAGTGAGAGCACAAACAGCCAACCCAAAGGGAGGGTGACTGCGCATCGTTGTTGCATGTGACTGGCGCCGAATAAAAACGTGTGTGGGATGTGTTGGTCTGTGGGGCAATCTCCCGTGAGTTGTCGAACCTCAAATGCACAGACGAATTGGTGGCTTTCCGGCGGACGAGGCTCGATTCAAAGTCTCACATGCATAGACGTCGTGTCAGTACCGCACAGAGGCCATGTAACGCAGTCCGATGTGAGGTTCTCGGGAGCGATAGCTCCCCATGTGGTGTGGCCACGTCATTTTAGTGCGTCACAACAGCAATCTGGCAGTTGGCAAGCAACGAACCTCTCGGGTTGTTCGCGGTGGGCTGCAGAGATTGGTTTCCACTCGACAGATCTTCCGCACAGGTCATTTCTGTCCGGATTGGGTAGATCTGATTTCTTCGTTAAGACCACCCCTACGACACTGGTAACGAAAGTAGCATTAGCGTCACAGTGTTTGTTGTCATAACTGGTGTGGTGCCTTGTGCTACCTACGTATCGAGTCTTGAACTTAATCGGCAATTTCCTCTTGATCCTCGGTGCAATATTTTGTGAACAGGCGCGGCCGGCACCAAGCAGAGACTCTACTGCTTCACCCACAAACCGGAAGGATTGGTCAACAATCACCGCAAGGAGTGTGCCCAGCCAGGCTGTACCACAGGGTCAACGTATGGCTACGAGTCAACTAGTGGACGCAAGGTAGCGGAGTACTGCGCAAGGCATGCTCTTGAGGGGATGGTTTGTGTCACCAACAAGAGATGTGCCCACCCCACGTGTCTCAAGCAGCCGACGTACGGCATGGCAGTTCGTGGCAAGCCTGAGTATTGCTTTGCTCACCACTTGGAAGGGATGGAGGACGTACGGAACAAGAAGAGGTGTGCTCATCCAGGTTGCGGCAAGCACCCCAGCAAGGGCGTTGCTGGCAGCAAGGTAGCGGAGTACTGTGGACCTCACGCTAAGGAGGGAATGGTTGCCGTGCATAACCATTGCAGGCATTCAGGTTGCCCTAAAAAGGCGAGCTATGGTGTGGCCGGTTGCCCAAGAAAAGAAGCGTTGTTTTGTAAGCCGCACGCCAAGGAGGGGATGATCTCTTTGGAACGCAACCATTGTCAACATCAAGGTTGCTACGCGGTTGCCGTGTATGGAGCATATGGCAGCGAAAAGAAGGAGTTCTGCGGTCGACACGCCACGAAGGATATGATTGGTGTCGCGAGGCCGTGCATGAAAGTTGGTTGCGCCACAGCGAGGTCTTACGGAGCACCTGGCAGCAAAGCACCAAGATTCTGTCCTCAACACGCAAGTGAGGGAATGGTAAATCTCTCCAAGAACTGTAGTCAGCCAGGATGTCTTCTCGTGCCGTATTTCAGCGTGTCTGGCAGCGCACCGGCGACGTTTTGCCGTCAGCACGCGACGGAGGGAATGATTAAGATCTCCAGGAACAAGTGCCACAGGGTATGTGAGCACCCGGACTGCGTACGCCGTGCATGTCATGGAGTGCCTGGCAGCAATGACCCGAAGTTTTGCCGTCAGCACGCGGAGGAAGGAATGACTAACCTCTTCCACAAGATTTGCGAGCACCAGAACTGCGTAACGTCCGCGTCGTATGGTGCACAAGGAAGCACGAAGGCGCAGTTCTGCGCGAAACATGCGAAAGACGGAATGGTCAACGTTTCGCACAGAAGATGCGGCTACTCAGGTTGCTCCGGGCTCGCGAGATTCGGAACGGTGGGAACGAAAAAGGCTGTGTTTTGTCCCACCCACGCAAGTGAGGGGATGGTAGATCTCTCCAAGAACAGCTGTGGTCAGCCAGGATGTCTTCTCGTGCCGGCGTTCAGCGCGTCTGGCAGCGCACCGGCGACGTTTTGCCGTCGGCACGCGACGGAGGGAATGATTCGGATCCCCAAGAACAAGTCCCACAGGGTATGCGAGTACCCGGACTGCGCACGCCGTGCATGTCGTGGAGTACCTGGCAGCAAAGTACCAAGATTCTGCCCTCAACACGCGAGTGAGGGGATGGTAGATCTCTCCAAGAACAGCTGTGGTCAGCCAGGATGTCTTCTCGTGCCGGCGTTTAGCGTGTCCGGCAACGCACCGGCGACGTTTTGCCGTCGGCACGCGACGGAGGGAATGATACGAATCGCCAACAAGTCCCACAGTGTTTGCGAGTACCCGGACTGCGCACTTCGTCCATGTCGTGGAGTACCTGGCAGCAAAGCACCAAGATTCTGCCCTCAACACGCAAGCGAGGGGATGATAGATCTCTCCAAAAACAAGTGTGGTCAGCCAGGATGTCTTCTCGTGCCGGCATTTAGCGTGTCTGGTAGCGCACCGGCGACGTTTTGCCGTCGGCACGCGACGGAGGGAATGATTAAGATCTCCAAGAACAAGTCCCACAGGGTATGTGAGCACCCGGACTGCGCACGTCGTGCATGTCGTGGAGTGCCTGGCAGCAATGACCCGAAGTTTTGCCGTCAGCACGCGGAGGAAGGAATGACTAACCTCTTCCACAAGATTTGCGAGCACCAGAACTGCGTAACGTCCGCGTCGTATGGTGCACAAGGAAGCACGAAGGCGCAGTTCTGCGCGAAACATGCGAAAGACGGAATGGTCAACGTTTCGCACAGAAGATGCGGCTACTCAGGTTGCTCCGGGCTCGCGAGATTCGGAACGGTGGGAACGAAAAAGGCTGTGTTTTGTCCCACCCACGCAAGTGAGGGGATGGTAGATCTCTCCAAGAACAGCTGTGGTCAGCCAGGATGTCTTCTCGTGCCGGCGTTCAGCGCGTCTGGCAGCGCACCGGCGACGTTTTGCCGTCGGCACGCGACGGAGGGAATGATTCGGATCCCCAAGAACAAGTCCCACAGGGTATGCGAGTACCCGGACTGCGCACGCCGTGCATGTCGTGGAGTACCTGGCAGCAAAGTACCAAGATTCTGCCCTCAACACGCGAGTGAGGGGATGGTAGATCTCTCCAAGAACAGCTGTGGTCAGCCAGGATGTCTTCTCGTGCCGGCGTTCAGCGCGTCTGGCAGCGCACCGGCGACGTTTTGCCGTCGGCACGCGACGGAGGGAATGATTCGGATCCCCAAGAACAAGTCCCACAGGGTATGCGAGTACCCGGACTGCGCACGCCGTGCATGTCGTGGAGTACCTGGCAGCAAAGTACCAAGATTCTGCCCTCAACACGCGAGTGAGGGGATGGTAGATCTCTCCAAGAACAGCTGTGGTCAGCCAGGATGTCTTCTCGTGCCGGCGTTTAGCGTGTCCGGCAACGCACCGGCGACGTTTTGCCGTCGGCACGCGACGGAGGGAATGATACGAATCGCCAACAAGTCCCACAGTGTTTGCGAGTACCCGGACTGCGCACTTCGTCCATGTCGTGGAGTACCTGGCAGCAAAGCACCAAGATTCTGCCCTCAACACGCAAGCGAGGGGATGATAGATCTCTCCAAAAACAAGTGTGGTCAGCCAGGATGTCTTCTCGTGCCGGCATTTAGCGTGTCTGGTAGCGCACCGGCGACGTTTTGCCGTCGGCACGCGACGGAGGGAATGATTAAGATCTCCAAGAACAAGTCCCACAGGGTATGTGAGCACCCGGACTGCGCACGTCGTGCATGTCGTGGAGTACCTGGCAGCAATGACCCGAAGTTTTGCCGTCAGCACGCGGAGGAAGGAATGATTGACCTCTTGCACAAGATTTGCGAGCACCAGAACTGCGTAACGTCCGCGTCGTATGGTGCACAAGGAAGCACGAAGGCGCAGTTCTGCGCGAGACACCGCGGGGAAGGAATGGTCAACGTTGCGCACAGGAGATGCGGCTACGCAGGTTGCTCCGGGCTCGCGAGATTCGGAACGGTTGGAACGAAAAAGGCTGTGTTTTGTCCCACCCATGCCGGGGAAGGAATGGTGGACATGAAAAAGGGGACCTGTGTACATCCTGGCTGCTCCGCAAGAGCAAAGTTCGCCGAGGCAGGTTCCAACAAGGCGGAGCACTGCAGGCAGCACGCTCGGGAGGGAGCGGTTGACGTCGTCAGCAAGGGATGCGCCCACCCGGGATGCACAAAATTTCCATCATATGGTGCGGTGGGGAGCAAGATTCCATTGTTCTGTGGACCGCATGCTACAGATGGGATGGTGACGGTCAGAGGGCTGAGGTGCAGTCATCCATGGTGCGATGAGTGGCCATCGTTCGGAAGGGCAGGCAACAAGAAGGGTGAGTTTTGCGGGCGTCACGCTACCCAAGGAATGGTCCATATACGTCGGGAGAAATGCAGCTCGCCAGGCTGCAGCCTCCTGCCGATTTTCGGCGTTCGTGGCACCTCGAAGGCGGAGGTCTGCACCCGGCACGCAAGAGACAAACCCTGGATGGTTCGAATTGTCCGCAAGCTTGGCTCTCGCAATGGTGGGTCCATGCCGGAAGCCACGGGAGCCGGAGAATGTGTCAAGAGGGAACTCTGCGACGGGGATGCCGTCTCAGAGGCAGGGATGGACGAGCACGATGTTGCGGAGAGAGGGCGAGGCACGTCAGCTTCGGTTTCACCTTTCATGGGCTGCAGAAAGAGACGAAAAATGATGGATGCTCTGACAACAGGAGCAACGACAGGAAAATTGTGACTGGTACGCTCGAGGAGCACATATTCGAAGTCCACTGCTGTACGGCGCCATCTGGTGCAATCACTCAGGCAGTGCGATACTCTGTTGGTTGTATGACCTCGCGTGGTTTCAGTGTATTGGTGTATTCAAGGCTGCTTGAAGGCCGGTCGTTGGGTGCATTTATAGACCGGGGCCAGGACGTTGATGGAACGCCCCTCTGGGAAACCTTGTTCACCACACACCACTCAGCAGGCAGCAAGATTGATCTGCGCAGGTTGCAAAAGATGTTTTCAGTGGAAGCGACAATGAAAAGTGAAGAGAACCAACGACCACGTACGCAGCGTCACAGGAACGACGAGCGTACGCACTCATTTTTTGGTGAACAGTTGGTGTGGGCCCCGGTGTTTGTTTCGGTCGTTCCGAACGCTTAAACGTCGAACTGTGTACACTTTCAACTTGTCTCTCGAAGTTTGTGTTTCACGTTCGATCTCTGTTTTCATACCTTTTTCTTTAGAAGTACTATTGTTTATGCTTGGGATACACGGTTTTGCCACAACACTTTCAACCCGTTCGGGCATTCTCTGAAAATGAACGACGATTGCGAGAGACTGAACATGTTGGAATTTGTCGAAGTCGTTCCGTTGAGAATTTTGTGTTGCCAGATACAAAGGACTACGCACTCTGATATGACGGGGTCCCATGTGCGGGCTATCACCCCCATCCCCATGCGCAGGTGTGAAACGGCAATAACAACATCAATGCGAGACAGCAACAAGAGCACGGCAACAACAGCAAAACCAGTGACAGTTGCATACCCAAGGCCCGTGCTGACAGGGAAGGGAAATCTGTCGATGGCTTTGTGTCACGTGCCTTCACCCACTTGTACTGGACGACTGTCCTCTCGGTCGAGTGGCCCCTGTCAAGTATATGGAACCATTCGCCAAAACTAGAGACGCCCCCTTGCGGATAGTGGTGGTAGAATACGAAGGAAGGAAAAGTTTTAGCGTAGGTGGTTGTGTTTTATAAGAAACGGAGACAGCGGGTCAACAATTACTTCGAGCCTCGTGACCACCAGGGTTGGTTAACTTCGCCTCCCCCATTCATTAACGAACACTACGCTCGATCAAGAAAAGGAGCATATGGGTGCGCACCATTGGTCGTATCCCAACGAGTTCGTGAACCGCTTGGTGTTGTGTTGTCTACCCATCCTCTCCAACTTAAACTGAAGAGAGTTCCTGCAGGAATAATACTTTTTTTCGATCACAAGCGCACTCAGATTGACATGACAACATGGGGAGAACAGGCCTTTCGACGCATGTTTTTCGCGGGGCTCGGGCGGTGGGTGAACGGGAGGCAGATACTGGCGCCTTTCTCAAACACAGCTTCGATGCACGAAGGGTCTAGGGTGTTGGCCTCATCTCGCGAGACACCTCGTCGGTCGGGACAAAGGTTCGTTGTGTCTGCTGCAAGATGCAAGCCGTGCGCTCGCCGACGCTATCGGTCGTGTTTGTTGTCTCTGTCTTCTCTCTCGTTTGTTGTGAACGCTGGCAACTATTCTGGGCTCACGCCGGGCAGGGTGATACCATCGCGACGTCGCCTCCTCAAGCACCCCTCGTCACTCACTAGTGCATCGCCAAGCTCCATCAGCAAGAACACCTGTGGGGGGCAATTTTGGAACCCCCTTAATCCATGATGAACTTCTTCCAGACTCTTGAGCCTACCACTTCCTCCAAACTCGCAGACATGGTACGTGGTGTGCAGTTGGCCCTCGCCGGTCAAGAGAGGAGGAAGGTGGCTCTACTCCCACTTTCGCAATCGCAGATGCACTCCCCCTCCTGGTAGCACCGTAAAACCGGCCTGCATGTCTTTGGTCAAGCCGGCATCCACAGACCCCTGGCTTCCCGCTGCCCCGCTCTCGTCTATGGCTGGAGAAAAATCCAAGGCTAAGCAAATGCGGGCAAGAAGTATCCGTAGTGCCACGCCCGCGAATGGTCGCCCCACGCAGCCGCGTGGGCCCGAAGCGTAGGGAATGAAGGACCCTGCGGGCTGCAAGGATTGAGGTGCGACGAGAGGGGGGAGGGGAAGGGGTGTCTAGTGAGAGGAGGCGGTATCTTCGGGGAAGGGGCAATACACACGTGTTACTTGTCTCTTCTCATATTGTCATTTGACTGCCGACCTCGTTAGACAGGACGTTGCATGCAGCGGTACCGCATTAGTCTACTATATTCCTCAAACGGATCAGCTAGGCTGCCAGAAATCGGGCAACGTCAACATCGTTCTCTCTTGTATTATTGCGACGCCGCAGGTGATTAGGGGGCAGGTGGTATAGAGTGTCCACCGTACCCTTGAAGAACTGTGAAATCACCACGCACCACAATGTGATCCGGCCATACCTGGCGGTAGAATATCTAACTTCACCTAGTTTATCAAGCGCAAGCATTGCATGCAGAAAACCAAATGAATGACATGGTGCCCAGCATCTTTGCCGCAGAAACAGAAAGAATTTCCCCACACATTCACCGATGAACAAAACACAACAGTTCTGGAGCGAAACGGTTTCCTCACAACACATCCCCCACATCTCGCCGCATATCTAAGTGTGCTTCCTGCACAGCACTCCTTGCCGCAAAACTCGCCTGCCGTGCCCCGTTCAGCCACCGCTCGGGCAAAAATTTGTCCGGTGATTTCCACAAAGCTGGGTGCCGGTGAAGACCGTAGATCCACACGCACGCAAGAGCGCCGGCCGGCAACAATGTGCCTGTTTATGTTTTGTTTTCGCAGAATTTCGAAGAGCGGGAGACAGGGGTAGGGTTGTCAGGGCAATATACAACAAGTCATGGAATTGGCATAGCCAAGGGAAGAAGGTAAACTTCGGCAGCAAACGAAAATTAACGGAATTTTCTCGCGGAGGGATGCTGCTGAAGGAAGAAGATGGCATTCGCAACGACGCTGTTGAATTTGCATCGGGGTTGTACGCAAGACTGGAGTTCGGCGTTGAACGTTTGGTTTGGGGGGATTCGACAGGGGTAGGGAGCCCGAGGGGGACCTTCAAGAGTATTCCAACAGCAGATTGTTCGCACAAACGGCCATTCCGGTATCGTTCGCTTTAACTGCCTCGCGTCGCGCGGCCACCTGGTCCCGACTGCAAGCGTTCATACCTACCGATCGCTCCCGAACTTGGAAAAAACACAAATACAATACATAGCGGTATGCACCGAAATTCCAAGCCACTGGCTCATTCGCACTCTCGCACTCTTTGAGTTGAACCTGGTGCCTTGGTGTCTCTAGCCCGCAACAAGAGAGAGGAAGTCGATGAGTGTGGAGCGGGGCCCAGGACCTCACCAAAAACGTTTAACCTTCAAGTAATTCTACTAATGGCCCAAACGCACCTCGGCTTATCGCAGGTATGCGCTGATCTGCTGTATCATGTAATCGCCTCTCGAAACGCGGATTGAAAACACGCAAGGCTTCGCGTGCACGACACTGCTGGGCCTTCACCGCGCCGCAGAGTGATATATTCAAGAATTTGAGGCGAACAGGCAAGGCAAGACTAGATGGACAAAATAGCGAAATCGCCTCCGTTGCGGCGTTTGAATGTGCTTCTCGCCGTCGTCGAGGGAAGCTATGTCGAACACGACCGGGGATACAGGCTAAATTTCCCACAGAACAAACTTCTCCGCCGCGATTCCAGTACGCAAAGCTTGTACGGGCGCCTTTGAAATTAGAAAATACGGAACATGCCACAACCCACCATCGCTACTGGTAAGCTACTATTTGCGCAACATTCCACCAGCGTTACCAATACTATTCCTTTCGAGATTACTGTTGAACCTACTTGTGTTACCATTTTGTAGTGGTTCGACCTCCTCACCGTCTTTGAGGCGGAGATCAGTCGACAAGTGCCGAACGACAAAGGGCGCCACCGGATACAGCCGTTGGGACTCCCGGATGCACGCGTCCACCATGGGCAGAAGAGGGCGGCGTTGTTGCCGAGCCTTCTCGTTGTCACCTCGGGTGGCTGGGGCTGTAAAACCACCGCCGCCACCTCCCGTGCAGTCAACGTAGCCGTCGGGGCTCCCTACTGCCGCGAGCACCTCTCGATGCACCTACAGGTACAACAACGACGAGAGAACCTGTTTTCTAAGATTGATTTACACGCGGCATCGACAGCTCAAACCGATTGAATCGACGGGACGTCGATCTCCTGCGCGAAAATACAAGGGAAGAACGCGTTCTTTTCCCCCGAGTCGCCCGACGTAAGGACCCTAGACGGAAGAGTACAGTCTCTGTCCGAGCTTGCATGACTCGCAATGTTTGTGTGTGTAATACAAGGAAAGACAGCAAGTGCCCCGAAAGTCGTGAGTATAAATGAAACCGCCGTTCGTTCTATGGATAGCGATGGATAATTCGACAAGGAGGTACGGATGAGGCGCGACCCGTTGGCCCTGTGAGGGAACCTCGGTGCTGGTGGTTGGGTTTCCTCGAATAAAGGATTATCTTAAACACCGTCGAACAATACCTCGAGAAGGTGGGGCCTGTTCTCGGGGAGCGACAGGAGGTGCATCGTCCAGCTCAGGGTAGCTGCGCTCGTATCCTGCCCGGCAAAGAGCAGCGTGATCGTCTGCGCGCAAATACAACATCAAGCACACAGAGAGCAAGCACGGCACCAGACAAAGCTAAGACGGCCTGGCTTATTCGAGACCCCTACAGCACCGTAGGATGTGCTAGACAGACGGTACACACTCACTGTCCACCTGCAGACGAAAAAGTAAAGTGCGTTTAACGCCCAATATCACCGTTCATGCGACGCAAGAACCCCGGCAACTTATTTTTTGCCCGCAACCTGCGAACCCGCTTGCCTCCTCTCAAGAATTTTGGAGCTCCCCATGTCCTTTCCCCCTTCCGTGCAAAGCCTACACCTGAAAACGCTTTTCTAAAGAAAAAATGCTAAGTAAACACGGAGAACGCATCACCAAATTCTGCCAAACACACGAGTGAAGGCTAAAAGTAGCGTTTTAGAGTAGCCCTTCCCCAGAAATGGACTTTAATGGTTGTTCAGCATATTGCATCTACAATAGCCCAATCACATTCAATAATGATCGCGAATCGCTCAACGATCGGCAGTCCCCTACCGCCCGCCCACGTTTTTCGCTACGACGCAATCACTCTTAGCCAGGCCGAGTCAACAAACAATCCGGCTTACCTCGTCAACCATGGATCCAGGATACGCCCTGTGGCTCTCCCGCGCTGCCATGTTGAACAAAGCTGTCTTCGGAGCGTTTTTTCCCGATCGCCCTCCCGCTGCCGTCCCTGTTCCTTCCTCCCTCGGGCCTCCACCGACGGCAGAGCGCTCGCCACTGCCGCCACCTCTTTCCATCGGTGCCGAAACGGTCTCCCTTCCCATCGCTCCTTCGACCCGGTTTGTTCTCCTGCTGGTGCTACTGTTGATGACCGTGGTGTCGCCAGTATTTGAGCCTCCAGCCGTGTCTCGGCTGTTGCCGCCGGTGCACCGCGCACCGTGTTCTGGTTGTTTTTTTCCGCCGTCTGCAACGGCGTTCTCGATAACCAGTTCTGCGAACTCCCGGATGGAAAGCATGTTATTGGTCTCCCGGGCGTGGAAGGGAGAGAAGGCTCGGTACACCCAGCCCCATGCAAACATCCAGACGCTTCTAGTGTTTCAGTGTGACAAGAGACGCAGGAAGGAGTATTCGAAATGCAATTTAATGGTACAGCAGCAGCAAAGTAACGTTCAGTGTCCTCGGACTAACCGTCGGACAGCCGTCACAGCGCCATTTCCTGGCAAAAGAACAGAAAAACACCGTTTGCCCATCTCAGGATATCAGCAAAGGCATACATTCAAGATTTTAGTCCTTGCACTGTTCAGAATTTCATTATCATATGCAGCAATGCACCGAAAGCCACGCCATATTTGTGCAGGGGCTTGGAGTTGTCACGACAAGGCGCCAGAAAGGCTTCAGCGCCAACATTTGCCGACAGCGGTCGCCCGGAGATGTACCATTCCTTCGAGGCCGCACACAGACTTAACATTCTTGTAAACGAGAATGCCGTTCAACCCAAAGTCAACAGCAACAGCAGCAACTCCGGAACAACAAACGCAGGTCTATTACTAGTTGGAGCCAAAGCATACCTAGAGCGTGCCAGGATGACCATGCGCATATCCGTCACTGCATCTAAGTATCGCGAAAGAAGGTGTTTTCTTTCCGGGGACGCACACACGTCCTCCCCGCCGCAGAGAAAGCGGTGGACTAGATTGAGGGTGTGGCGCTGGAGGAGTCTGACGACCTCAACCTCCAGCTGGGATTGTGATGATCGTTTGTGGTTGAAGAAAGCAAGGGAAAGGGTTGCAATTTTGGTGTTAGTGTTGTTGCGTATCACAGCGGTTGTGATGTTCGCTGAGCAAAAGGTTGCCCATGGTCTCAAATCGCATGGGCTATTACGTTTTGGAATACTTCTAATACATAAATACACTAGTCTACTCGGTTTAATGTGCACCTGCCGGCCACCACAAGCTCAGCAAGTCTAGACCCGCACCGCCACTAACCTCTCCTCCTTCCTCCCTCAAGGCTTCCACCTCTCTCAACAGCGAGTCCGCTTCCTCATTGGCAAGCACCGCCAACGCCTTCCCGTTTCCACCCGCAGCACCGCGCCCTCCAACATAATCGCTCACGATCCCTCCCGCATCGGCAACACCACCACCGAAGGCGGTCATAGCGCTTCCTCGGAACAAGGTGTGCGCCACGGTTGCCCGTTTCTTCCTCCATTCCTCCCCGTCCGCCGTGAACACGCCTCTTCCGAAAAAACTCCCGAAGTGGTCATAGCCAGGGCGTTTCGTATGCTGCGCAAGGGGGGCGGTGTGGAGCAGCAGAGTTTCCTCTTCTTGGAAGGGCTCACGAGTTTTGTTGACATTGTGTTGAGTGCACTTAGCGCCAACTCCTGCTCTGTCCTACTTCAAAGTCTGCGAAGACAGCCGACGTCGAGGAACGCGTACGTCCGGGAGAAAGTCAACAAGTCTCTGCACATAAAACCAAGAGCGCTTCAGTGCCGCAGGGACAGGAACATCCACGCGCACATGCGGCGTTCCGTCAGGGTGGTTGGATTTTCGAAATAATTCACATTTCCTGTAAAATAGGAACACAATTGCTTGCTCAAAATAAACGTGGGTGCTGTGGGAACACCGCTGTACGCTTCTGTCTCATGGCCTTGGCCTTCACTTATCGCTTGACACCCAAAAAGCAGCTCACCTGGGAAAGCACCAGCGCGGCAACCTCCGGGTCGGCGACATGCACGACGGCCTGAGTGCCTACCCAGGCGAAAAACACAACACACACGAGCAATACCACCAATGGCCGCGTGGGAGACGGGATTTTGATCAGTGCGTCGGAAAAGATATCGGCCTTGACTGCTTCAAAAACAGGGTCAACAACCCTTCAAGGCCCAGACAGCGTAGGCGTAGCCCTGACAAAACACTAGGCAAAGGGGGGTAGCTCTTGGATATTGTCCTTTCCCACTCCCACGATACCACCACTTTCAGAACTTTCTTCGACGGCAGCGCCAGGAATAACCCGCAGCCCGTTCCTGCCCTTGAGATATAGGCTTGCACATTCCGCGTGTTGCAGAACATGCGCAACAGATTTTGGATGGTTCGGCGTGAGGATCTCGAAAACGACAACGACGGCCCTCACCGAAGACCGTGCCGTACATCCCGTGAGGCCCCTCGAGCACCTCCATCCGTTTGAGCACCCTCGACAGGCTTGAACCCTTCTGTCGGCGGCCGTCCATGCGCCAAAACTTTGGGTACCACAGCACTACAGGAAGGCCTAAAAATATGGGCGTTGAGGTGTTCATGGGGGGACCAGTTGGCGAAGAGGGGAAAGGAAAGTGGGCGCAAGACATGCAGTGGGGCGCAATGTTCTCATTTATGTCTTCGATTCGAGGCGGAAGATTTGCCCGCACCTGCGTCAACCAGAGGTCTGAGATTGTGGTAGCGCTACATGCTGCACGCCCAACAGAAGTTGACCAACTAACGGCGCATTTAATGCCGAGCATATGCCAGGTAGGAGGGAGGCCTTCCGGCTGAATGCGCCGCCACAGTGTGGGTACGTCGTTGCGCGCGCTTCACCAAGTGTGTGTACATTGTTGGGCGCACTTCAACGCGCGAACGCACTTGCAGCACTTCATGAAAGACATTACGGGGCTGTTGCGTTCTTTGAGACTACGGGCAATCACGTTGTATCTTTCGTGGCACACGGATACGAGCGCACGTGTTACCGTGACCGGAGCAGCCTACCACCTGACACGATCATCTTAATTCGGCTTCCTCTGAAAGTTCTCCGAACAAACAACTCATATAGCATCGTGTGTCGTCAACGAATCAAAGCAAATGGTCGCATCTTAATGAAACGGGGGAGTGGTGAGTGGTGGACGAAAACCAAGAAGGCGAGGAATTCGGCGGGGGAACTCGCTGACGTGGTAGTTCATGAAGCGACCAAAGGTATCATCACATCTGGCGGTTCGCGAGGGTAGATGGAGCAGGTTTATTTTGAAGCTCGAACATCGGGGTTGGGCCAAAGGCATCGCAATCGCAGCTCAAGAAGGACACTCGAATCAGTGTTGGAGCCGTTGCGCCAGACTCGGCCGTAGAACGGCAGCAGCCGCATCCGAGCGCTCTTCCTTCAGAAGCGGTATCTATTTGGCGATCTTGTAGACTTCTTTGTCTGTCTCTCTCTCTCTCTCTCTCTCTCTCTCTCTCTCTNTCTCTCTCTCTCTCTCTCTCTCTCTCTCTCTCTCTCTCTCTCTCTCTCTCTCTCTCTCTCTCTCTCTCCGTTTTCTCTCGGTCTCGCCCCCTCGCTTTGTTCTGGCATACGGTGGCTGCTGTATTCGTTGAATAGCATGATATGCGTGTACTATTGTGGGTGGCGGGCGTCACAGCTGCCGTTGAATTGTGGAATTGCGACCTCCGTGACGTGCTCACTAAGGTACAAAGAGTAACAGCACAAATCATGTGTCATGTCACTTCACGTCAACACTGCAACCTAAACTCTGAGCTCAGCGGTGGATGTCCACGTGCTTCCCCTGAACGACAAATGAAATAGCAACAGAAGGCTCGTGCATCTCACTCACCGGCCCGGACACGCAGGATGTAGTATGCTCGGAGCATGCCTAGGCCCACCTTCCCAAGCGTTGCAGCCGACAGAGCCACAAGTGCTACCAACGTCCATGATGCCAGAGAGAACTCCAGATCAGGGAGGCCCATCCCGTCGTGGCAGTAGTACCACTAAGAGTTAGCAGCAGCACCCGCAACTCTTTTTAAAAGGGTATCGTGCCCGTTGGACGCCTGCTGCGTGCTCTTTCACGACACCGTGACTTGGCGGTGTGTGTGTGCTTGTGCGTTGTGTGTTGGCGCAAACCGAGACTGTCAGAAGTCACAGAGGGACCCCAGCATTTGCCGGGTTGCGCTCCACAGCCCCCCCGTCATGCGCAATCATGGGGCGTATGGCACACCATGGCACTGACAAGTGATCAGGCACGCACTCAAATGGGGAACGATATTGGGGACCTGTCGGTCCAGGAGAAGGAGGCCAATGTGTCTGCCCAGCTAGAGGAGCTTGAAGCCCTTGAGGCGATTTATGGGGAAGGTTATGAGGCCGTGGGAGGTTCCACCGCATCGCCGCAGGTTTGTTCAACATGTTATCCGCCTTGAGTGTCGCTGTACAGTACATTGACATGCGTGGCACCAGCCGCAATACGATTGGCTTTCTACTGGCCAGTTTACATGTTGTGTGATGGGTGTATTCGTTCCGTGCGCAGGTGCAGGCGGCGTCCTTCTGTATGTTGCAACCGAAAACAACCAGTAAGCAGCTGCATGCAGTTCGTTTTGAAAGAACTTCCCCCGTCGCCCATCGCGGGCCGCACCGCGATTATGTTCATGACCTACACTACTGCTGTACCTGTTTCGCCGGTTGAAAAGCTAAAGCTTATGTCAGGTGGCTGAACTTACACCTGACACTAGGCCTGCCTGCTGTGTTGCGTCCTCACGCCCAGTAATTACCAGTATGAGTTCATTCGGAGTCAGGGATAATGCCTGTATTCTACTGCAGGACGGAACAGTGTCTCGTTGTTCTGGACTTGTATCTGCTCCGGCCTCTGTCGAGAGCAGCAGTTCTTAGGTTAGCGTGCTTCGTATTGTGTGAAGAGGCTCGGGTTGTTCACTGGCTCGACCGGCACCTTTGCGAATCCTCCGAGTTGACAGCACAATAGTAACAGCCGCTTGGTGCTGGTTAGATATATGTCACACGCGTGGAGACAGCAACGACCGCCCCACCCAGGCTGCCATAACAACATGAGCCGTGTTTACCGTACGTCCGTCTCTTGGATTTGTTGACTACCAGCTTCGCATCCGGGTGTCCGAGATCCCACTCGTTAGCCTCCACCTGCGCTTACCTGTGGGGTACCCGTCCCGCGACTTTCCGGAATTGGAGATCAAAGCGCCGGGGCTCGGGCAGGCGGCACGCAGGAAACTCCGCGAAGGTGCGTCCAACTTAAAGAGGGGTAGAGCCTATGTGCAGAGCAACAAGCGGAGAAGAAGTGACACTAACATTTTTTTGCGAAGGGCCTTGGAAAGAGGCACCATGCTAGCAGGGTTCACTCCATTGTTCACAGCACTGTATCCGCGTCGTGCTGCATACACACAGCCGTGAAGGCCTCATGCTTGAACGTGGCACGACTCTGGTGCCGAAAATCGCTACCAAATCTTGCTCCGTGTTTTCTGTACGATGGAATCTTGTCCTCCACAACAAGCACCGCTTTAAATTTATCTGCTGTACATCATCAACAGCTTGAACGTGATCGACTTCATCAATAACAAGTTCAAGTAATCGTGTTATATGTTTGTGTGTTTGCTACGAAATACTCCTTGGAATCGTTCTGTTCGTGTGAACCAGCGTATTCCTTCTTTGTCGACATTTGGCCTCGCGCCTTCACTGGTTGACGAGTCGTGTACGATTGAAAGTTATGGTACTTTGGTTTACGCAGGGAACAATAGAATGTAGCACATGTAAAACATGTATATCACTTGGTCCATCAGTGGTTGAGAAGCGTGAAACGAATTGGGTTACGCAGGAAACGAATGTACTTGCTAGATTTAGTCATCATTTGTTTGGTACAATTCAGAGCAACTTTCATTGAGGGGGACTGTTACGAACATGTTAGCACATAGGCAGTATATCGTAGATCCCGCATGTGTCGGTTCGAATGTCCGTTCGAATGTAACGTACGTATGTGTATTCGGAGGGATTATCCCGCAGGATTCTCTGCTTGCTAGCCGAGTAGCTCACTCTCTTGTGATCCTTCCGGATTGTGTTGGCCACCTAAGCGCCAGTGTTCCAATATCTCAACATCTTCTTCACGCCGTGGAAGGACTCTCGTCTTCCGGGCGACCCTTTCGCACGTGTCATCACTTCGCCTAACGTCGACGACACAGCCTCGAAGCCACCGTGTCAGGGTTTCAAACCATATCCATATCCACGTCTTCCTCACACACAAGCCACATAGTAGTAGTCTCCATAACCCAGTACAGGGTATTGCTGCTACATGTAGCGTGGGAGAAACAGGCATTGGATTTAGGTGGGATCGCGTCCTGTCGTTGAATTTCAGACTCACGACACTGTCGTCCAACTCCTGATTCCCCCCTGCTTGTGGACCCTCAAGGCTAGAAGGAGTGTTCGCCCTATCATCCAGCTATATTTTGACGTTTTTCATTGGTCAGCCTGTTAGCGCGGTCTATGCAAGTTAGAGCAACACCCTGTTCTCCTCTCTCTCTCTCTCTCTCTCTCNTCTCTCTCTCTCTCTCTCTCTCTCTCTCTCTCTCTCTCTCTCTCTCTCTCTCTCTCTCTCTCTTCTCCAACACTGTTCCTGGCCATCTCCCTGGCTGTGGTCGCTCCACCTCAACAACCATACTCGCGGTAGCCCTGTTGCCTTCGGCTTCCCCAAGTAGTGAAGCCGTGGAAGTCGCCAAACCATCCCCTGGTGGGACCGTCGTCGTTTTTGATTGGGTCGAGACTCTCCGAGACTTGCTATCCCGAACAGACTACACCAGCGGTTCTCCTGCAGCAGACGGCGGCGACGACAACGACGGCGACGAGACAACCGTTTCGACGCTCCCCGCAACAACGGGCAAATTTGACGAGGACGAGGAGGCAGGGGAAGAACCATTGGAAGCGGAACTCCCGGCGGAAGAGTACATGGAGATTTTCCACGGCCAGGCGTTCACGGATCGAAAGAGCACGTTCCAGGCGCACCTCGCAAGGGTGTCCTCCGAGTCTCAGGTGCGTGGAACGGCCTGTTTGCGTTCTTGAATCAGTGTTCTAAGGCCGTTTGGGGACAACCCTTTGAGATTTTGCCTTGTGAGTTCTCCGACAGTCGGGTACGACGTCCTATTTTGAGTTGTTGTCGGTGCTTGAAGGTTGATTTCGCACAGAGGAACGCACCTTTGTTTTGTCTTTGTTGATTATCGATTTCCTCGCAAAACTCCTCACCACACAGTTTTCCGTCAGTCCGTTGACGTGGTCGGACGGGTCCGGAGTGGTCAATCAGGCTCCACGCGCCCGAAGTTTGGCCCAAGATCTGCACCAGGAGATACGGGCATGCCGCTACGGCCCCCTTACTGTGTGTGTTCCTCTGCTTCTGTCTGTCTGCCTTGAGGTGTATTCGTGTTCATATTCGTGTAGACTAACATTCGAAGTGCGGTAGTATTGCCAGGCGGTGGATATTGGTGGTGTCTTGTGTTCCGCCATCCTGTTGTCAAGCTTTTGACAGTTTTGTTTTCATCTTTTTCTTGTTTTCTGCCGTACAGGTGACGCGGGTGAGGCGTCGACTGATGGAAAACGGTAAGGTTGCCCGTGCGACCCACAACGTGGCCGCCTGGAGAGTATGGGACGAGGACAGGGGGGTTCAACTGCACGACAACGACGACGATGGCAAGTCCCTGGACTAGATTAATTCGGGACATATCGCGAGAAACAAATCCAACACACAGGGCACGAAACCTTGGTTTATCCATTATCTCGAAGTTGTGTATCCCACGTGCGCCGAAAGTTCACCCTCAGCGTTTTCTCAACCATGTTTCTCAGGACTACCGCCAATGGGCAATGTGGCATCATCTTGCGGGCAGAACTTGTGATGCAATACTTCCTCGACACTCACAGGGCTCAACATTCATTTCTCGTGTGACGTACCTCTGCTTTCTTCGCCCTCGCCCAGGTGAGAGTGGCGCAGGCAGCCGACTGGCGCACATGCTGGCCATCACTGGAGTTCAGAACGTCGTGGTGGTTGTGTCACGGTGGTAAGAGCTGCTCTTCCACATGAACAGTGTTTTAGGTTGTTTGGTGATACCGGTTTTCTAGCATCTTAACGGTGCCCCTGAGCGGGGAGGACTATCGGACGTCGGTCTCACGGCAGGTTCTTGAGTGCTGCGATCCTATTTCTATGCTGGCGTGTGTATAGCCCGAATACCTGGAGGTGCCACGAGAGGAATAGCGAGCACTGCACGCCATAGCTAAACCCTCGTTGCTGCCCCACAAACGAACTAGTGTACATTGAACCATGCACGCCGAGAAATCACTATACTTCTGGATGGGTCTCTGATTACCAAGTTGTCGCCCGAAGCCCTTCCCCGGGCAACTTTCCGTTCGAAATCAAAGCGTGTCTCGTGCTGCTGCCGATGGGGCAGGGGGCAAGCGCTTGGTCATCCTTTGCCCTCCCGAAGCTGGTCTTTAGTAGGAACAGGGTGCATCGGCATCAGCTTCCAAACCACCAGTCGAGGAGCTCTCACGTACTCGCCTCTACGGCTCGCCTAACCGATGTATCATCAAGCACAACCCGGGCCAAAACCTAACTCAAGCAACTTCAAGCATGTTCGTAATAGGTCAGCAGACCTCAGCAGCCCGCCTTACCAAAACCAACTGACAAACCAGTGAGTAAGACAAAGAGGAAAACGGAAAAAAAAAGTCTTGCCTCTCGTATGCCTGGCAGATTGACAACATGAAAAACGCCCATTCGAAATGCACAGGTACGGGGGCATACACCTCGGACCCGACCGTTTCAAGCACATCAACAACGCGGCGAGGGAACTGCTCGTGTACTGCGGCGCCACCAAAGCAGACGGGGAAATAGGGCGAGGCGGGGCAGGAGGGAAGGCAAGGGTTCGACGGAAACGAGGCTCGGGAGGCGGCGGATCATAGATGCAAAAATTGCGGCAGAATATTTGACAATGGGGGGTTGGCGGTTGCGTGGATGTGGCGGAACCGGTCAGCAGGTCCGTCCAGAACAGCCTGGCGTCTCTTGTAGGAGGGTAGTCGACGCGTCTATTTTTAACGGGAAAGATCATCACACAGGCGACTCCCCTTTTGACAAGCTGCGAAAAAGCAACACAGAGCAACAAGAGAACACTATCAGGTTGCAGTGCGTGTCCACTACTGTTTGGGCCTGTTGAACATGTCCATCCGTTGACATTCGGGCACACGATTTCCTGCCACGTTGCGGAGAACCAAACGAGATCCGCGCATGCGCGATAAGGCGCCTGGTCCGTAATCTTGTCAGTTGGAAGAAATTCAAAGCAGTCTGTGTCGAAATTCCAATCCGAGTTGGGTTGGTTGCTGCGCCGGAAACAAAAGGACGTAGATGGAGGTTTTTTCGAGTTGTGTTCGTCTGGAAGAAAGTGTGGGACTGTAGCAAGGGATGGTGTCATCATGACATGCTCAGGCAACCCCTTGTTCAAAGGCATCTACGCCGTTGTCCCGGCCAAGAAACGGAATACCACGCACACAAACCCCTCTAATACCTGCGACAAATGGGAGGTGAAGCTACTACAGCACCTATGTACCGAAAAAAATATTTGAAAAAATCGCACAGATATGGATCCCCGCCTGTGTTGGACTCCTGCAGATGAATTGGTGTGATGGTGTACCACATACCACATGACAAGATAGACTTGTGGGTACTCGCGTGGTGGCCGGTAGCGTTGAGAACCGAACTCCAGGATATGGGCGGAGCAGACGGCAACCACAACCTAGGTCTCCTTTCCATGCCAAAGCTTGCGTGAAGGCATACCCACGTCCGAAAACGACAAAAGTGGGTGCCTTGCCGCCCAAGTCGCAGGCAAGGCGTGTGTGTGTGATCGTCCCACCAATTTTGGATTCCAGCCGACTCTTTTCGGAATATTTGTGACTCAGCAGCCTGGGCAAACGTTCGCCTTGTGTTATATTCGTGAAGGGCGTTCCGTGGGTATTCCCTCATTGTTGTATGTACTCTCGACAATACGCTTCTGAATTCAAGTTGCGATAACTTCATTCATTTTCTGTGCATCATCCAACGCAGCGTGAATCGCTCCTTATATGTTGCGCCACAGGCGCACGCGCGAAAAGCCTTTTTGACAACAGTTCAGCCAGCGTCCTCTTCATTCTTTCAGGCATATGCTTCAAATTAACACTTGGAACTCCGACTTCGTTCCAGCAACAGCCAGGCACGGCGGCGACAACGTTGCACCTAACCGCCCCGCCCATTTCTATTCGTTCCTTGTCTCAAGAACAAGGCGGATTTCCTTGGCAGACTGGTATCCACAGACTTATCAGCAGCGCACGAGGCTCAGAGGCCACAGTAGCACGACGATTCCGGCGATCCCGCCGCAGGGAAACGGGCGGAGGACACCACCTCGCCCGAAAACAGCAAAAGTCCTGACGTCGGGGACATCGACGCAACGACCAAACAGAGGCCATCGGCAGATTTCCCACGCCCTTCCAGCACACGGCGTGAGTGTTGAACCCTCACCCTCACATGGTTTGCTGCTGCTGCTGCTGCTGCTGCTGCTGCTGCTGCTGCTGCTGCCGTTGGTCTTGTTGCTGCTGCCGCGCGTTTCGGTTTAATGTTTCTGTTGCCGTTCCACACCTGCACATAGGGACGGGGGTCACAACCCGCACATGGGACCCCGTCATATGAGAGTGTATTCCTTCCGATCTGGCAACACTACTCAGCGGAAGTACTTTAACAGGTTCCAACATGTTAAGTCTTTCGCACGCGTCATCCATATTCAGAAAATGCTCGAACGGGTTGAAAGTGTTGTGGCAAAATTGTGTACGCCAAGCATGAACAATAATACTTCTAAAGCAAAAGATACGAAAACCGAGATAGAACGTGAAACACAAACTTCTAGGGACAAACTGTACACACTTTTGATGTTTAAGCCGTCGGCACGACCGAAACCAAGACCGGGACCGACACCAATTATTCCATCAAAAAGTGAGCGCGTACGCTCGTCGTTCCTATGGCGCTACGTGCGTGGTCGTTGGTCCTATTCACTTTTCATTGTCGCTTCCACTGAAAAAATATTTAGCAACCTGCGCAGATCAACCTTGCTGCCTGCTGAGTGGTGTGTGGTGAACAAGGTTTCCCAGAGGGGCTTTCCATCAACTTGCTGGCCCCTGTCTACTAATGCACCCAACGACCTGCCTTCAAGCAGCCTTGAATACACCAATACACTGAAACCACGCGAGGTCATACAACCAACAGAGTATCGCACGGCCTGATTGAATGCACCAGATGGCGCCGTACAGCAGTGGACCTCGATGTACTCCTCGAGCGTACCTGTCACCATTTTCCTGTCGTTGCTCCCGTCGTTGCAGCGTCCATCATTTTTCGTCTCTTTCTGCAGCCCATGAAAGGTGAAACCAAAGCTGATGTGCCTGGCGCTGAACCACCGTCGTTCAGAATGAGCAATGCCATCTCTCGCCCTCTCTTCGCAACATCGTGCTCGTCCATCCCTGCCTCCGGGACAGCATCCCCGTCGCAGAGTTCCCTCTTGACACCTTCTCCGGCTCCCGTGGCTTCCAGCATGGACCCACCATTGCGAGAGCCAAACTTGCGAACAATTCGAACCATCCAGGGTTTGTCGCTTGCGTGCCGGGCGCAGACCTCCGCCTTCGAGGTGCCACGAACGCCGAAAATCGGCAGGAGAGTGCAGCCCGGCAAGCTGCATTTCTCCCGATGAATGTGGACCATTCCCTGTTTAGTATGGCGTTTGCAGAACTCACCGCCCTTTCGAAAGATGGTCACTCATCGCACAATGGATGACTGCACCTCAGCCCTCTGACCGTCACCGTCCCATCTGTGGCATGCGGTCCACAGAACAATGGAATCTTGGTCCCCACCGCACCGTATGATGGAATTCTTGTGCATCCCGGGTGGGAGCATCCCTTGCTGAAGACGTCAACTCCCTTCCGAGCGTGCTGCCTGCAATGCTCCGCCTTGTGGGAACCTGCCTCGGCGAACTTTGCTCTTGCGGAGCAGCCAGGATGTACACAGGCCCCCTTTTTCATGTCCACCATTCCCTACCCCTCATAGGTGGGACACAACTCAGCCTTTTTCGTTCCAACCGTTCCGAATCGAGGGGGCCCGAAGCAATCCGAGTAGCCGCATCTTCTGTGCGAAAGGTCGACCATTCCGTCTTCGGCGTGCTTCGCTGCCTTTCGTAGTACTCCGCTACCTTGCGTCCACGAGTTGACTCGTAGCCATACGTTGACCACGTGGTACAGCCTGGCTGGGTACACTCCTTGCGGTGATTGTTGACCAATCCTTCCAGTTTGTGGGTGAAGCAGTAGAGTCTCTGCTTGGTGCCGGCCGCGCCTGTTCACAAAATATTGCACCGAGGATCAAGAGGAAATTGCCGATTAAGTTCAAGACTCGATACGTAGGTGGCAAACGATACCACGTCGTATCTTAAGAAGATGCTGAAAGCCAGACCGCGAGAAGCAAGGAATGCCTATTATACCGGTGTTCTTATGTACCAGAGCCCAGAGATAAAATTCCTCAATTTCGGGTCGAGGTTTAACCGAGCCAAAACACTTGCTGCGAAAAGTCGCTTGTTTCTTATTTCTTATGAGCCGAGGAGCGCCAAGCGCGGCCTTTTTTCCCTTCATCCCAAGGAGGGAAAAAAAAGGCTCTATATGTCGGCCTTTTCCGCCGCGTGTAGCAGGGGCCCCAAACTTGGTTTCCGTGAAGCCGATATAACCCACCTTTGGGACCAGAACGACATCTACAGGGCACCGATTGACGATCTGTCCGCTTCTGAGGAAGAAGAAAATAGGGCGCTCTTCGCCACACTGGTTTGGTCATGCTCCGATAGCAGATGGCCGTGCTCCACAAGCGCTCGTGCCCTAAATTTGTAGGAGGTCACTGTGCCCAACCCCGGGGTTTCTACGCGACAAGGGTAACAAAAAACGGAGATAGCGCGCGCGCGCGATCGAAACCAAGAAGAAACACAGGCAGAGACGCCACAACACCAACAAACGCGTCACCGCTGGGACGCTGAACACAGCACACCTTCCAAAGTCCAGATCATACCTACCATCGAGAGAAACCGTCGAGGGCGTCAGGGTCTACTGCTACGCGTATCACGACCTGTGCGCCGTGGGTATAGTCATGCGCCACATGTAACCTGGCGGGCGTTTATTTATGTTGAGTTGGTCCAACCGACTGCTCAAAAAACAGCCGATGATCACAAGCAAGCACACAAGATAACAAGCCTTCCAAGTCTAGACTAGATCACACCTGCCATCGAGAGAAACCGTCGAGGGCGTGAGCGTCTACGGCTGTGCGTTGTCACGACGGTTCCCCGCGCGATCGGTTCAGGTTGCTTATACTTGCGCGGTACCCCTGACTGTCTCCGCAAAGCCGTGCCCTCTGCCTGTTGTTGCTGCTGCTGGGTCTCTCGCATCAAAGTCATGACCAGCAACGGCTTTGTTGTTTATGGTTCATGCTGTAGTAATGTTCCGTGATGTACAATATGTATACAGGCTGCTTGCTTTCACTTGGCGGGAAACTCGGAAGGCTTGAGACGAACGTGGCGGGCAAATTGTGAGCCTGACGCAAATTATGTGCCCTCTGGCTTGTCACAGTCCTATGTCTAAGCTGCTGGTCGTGCTCCTCGGCGGTGTGATGTGTTAAGTGTGTCAGGACACGCCAACAACAGCTGAGCGTTGTTGCAGGTGACAGATACATACATATTCGCTTGGCTTCCCTCTCTAGGATAGCGTGTGTGCGTTCTTGCTTCGAGAAAAACACTGCTTGATTACGCCGCTCTAGTCGTTCTGCTGGCGGCCATGATCCCGACACTCTTGCTGAAATAGTTGTTAACTGCTGATGTACGTAGAAAGGGGAAGCACAACCATGTAGTTGTCAGCAGCAGTCGAGCCATGTATTTTTTTTTTTTCTCCCATCATCGGACTCTGTCGTCTGCCCCTCTGGCCCCTATCCTCCACTTCTACTAGCTAGACGACCCAACCGGGGTCACATAGGAGGGGGGGGTTGGACCCCCTCCTGCGGTTCATGCCTGAGGTATTTTTATCGCGAGAAGGGTACAACAATCCCTTCCCTCGCGACTTACGAAGTCGATTATGGTTTACGAACAACGAGCCTTGCAACGCGTCGCTTTCATCCTAGACCAGGATTTATTTGGTGAGAAAACAATTCACTCTGCCGGGACTCGAACCCATGACCTGGTCCTTAGCAGGCTGCGAGGCTGTATGTATCCATGTGTATGTCGGGTGCCTGTGTCAGCAGAGATGCAGAGCAATGCACACATCGCCGTGCAGACCGTTGAGCCTGAGGTCGGGACGTCAGTACGCACGCACATACTTTACATATGCCGCGGCATGCGGGCTTTCAACCAACAAAAATCCAAAACATTGAAAGAAGAATATTTTTGCAGCCAAATTCCTTCAGAAGGATCTTTCAACATATCGAACGAAAAGTTCGCCAAGCTCTCGAAAATGGCGCAAACAAACCCCTCTCGTGGGAGTGCATCGATATGAAGTGAAGTAACACTTACTCTCCTTACGCATTTAATATCTCTTTTTCCTCTGTCTGCTTTGGGGTATTATTAACGGAAGTCAATTTCTTGGATTCAAAACCCCGAACTGTGAAAAGAAAACCGGACTTTTCTCGCTTGTTCTATTCATGGTCATCGAAAAAAGTACGTTTGGTTCGCTGAATGCACGCTTTGCTCGGCACACAACAGGTTGACTTGGTTTTGCTCACCATAGAGCAGCGGTAAAAGCGCAATGAGCAGCACGACACAAAGGACAGCGCGCTTAGGAGGATCCCGTCCACCCGGCCTGCTGTATTTAGTTTTCAGCAACAACAAGCGCAGGCCAGAGTGTCGCACCCTGGGTGTTGCTTGCGATTTCTTCAGTTTACCGGCTCATTTTTCACGGTTGCGACTGCCTTCTTTGACCACCACCTGCCCAAAGGAAGAAGGGCTCAACAACAATAGGGCGGCAGCGGCGCTGACGGCCAGCATCATATAGATGACCAATCCGAAAGAATTAGCGTGTCGGAGGCCCTGTTGCTCTACTGCTGCGTGGTGCCGTGGATTGATGTTGATGTGTCCGACCAAAAACAGATCATCATCCCGCATATTTTCCAACGGCATTTTGGTGAGGTGGCACACGACTCTCACACACCTTCTTGAGTAGCACCCAAGCCCCCAATACCCACGAAGCAGCACGGCGGCGGGAGTGAGAGTCCTATAGACAGCCGAACCGAAGGAATCAGCGCGTTGGAGGTCTTGGCGCTGCTGCTGTACTCGTTCTACTGTTTCCGTGCTTGCTATGTGTGATTGAAAAAATTGTTCAGCACCAACAGCAGCAGTTGAAGACGAGAGCACCACGCAATGTCTTGTTTTAGACCAAGAATGGACTGAGTGCGACTTCTTCCGCTTGTCCATCTATCTCGACATTAGACCTGAACGTCTGGCAGGTCTTGCTAGCGTTCTCAGTGATGATACAGCGCCCCCGGTGCGCCTGCCCGACCATTGTATCAACTTCCCGGGTCCGTGAAAGCAGCAGGCCCAAAAAAATCCCGGCTCCTTTTCACAAATTCGGAGAGAACCGCCTCCATATATTCGCAAGAAAACCCGCTTCCGTGGAATTTTCCATGTTTCTGGTTATTAATAATACCAATTTTGGGATACTCTTGCATCGCCCCTTGCTGCGGTGCTCTCTTTTACCATATTCCGGAGGGATGCCCTGTTAAGACTACTGCAAGGTATTGAGTCGCTACCCCGCGGCTCATTACCCTGCCCTATCTAATCTGTCTTGCCGGAAGTTCGTGGAGATCTTAAACTTCTTCTCCGTCGATGTCTCGCCCTCTAGAGTGTTAATTGTTTCAATCAACAGGTCAATTACCTGAGATGAATGTTCGTGGGTCTGCGAACATTGTTTTTGGATACATGTGCTGGATGATTTTGTGTCACGCAGACTGGTAAGATTACAGTTTGGTAGGGGGCACCGCGATGATTCACGGGGCCCCTCCTTGCTGTGGGAGCCGCTCTTTGAGCACTCCCTCTTTCGTCCGTGTGAAGGACGGTCGTCGACCTCTTGTGAAGTTAATACATCACCAAAACAGTCTCACCCGATAAATAAGTGGCGTAGGCCGCAAACACTCTAGAGTTTGCCCCTCGAGGGAAGCCACATCGGGATGAGCTCTGCTGGAGACGAAGAGCGCGCTGCTGCGAGCGGAGAACAGATCCGCCCGCAGGTGCAGGAGGGCCGCGACGCGGAGCTTGCAAGTTTGCAACGGCAGATTCCGCAATTGCCGGCCCTGGTGAAGGAGTCGGTGAAGAAGAAGGAGCCTGGCAGCGTCGTGGCGGATGCAGCCAGTAGGGGTGGCTAGGTTGCTGCCCCCAGAGGCCAACGAGCAGAGCCCACGCTGCCGCTCGGCGGTGGCGGGGGATTTCTCCAGCAGCAAGCGAGAGATAGTGGGCAAGGACCACGGCCGCTGCTGGAAGGCGGCTGGGCCAGCAGATCGGGAGCGAACCCTGTTGGACCAGCCGGAGTGGGCCCGGGCATAGGACCGGACTACGGGGAAGCGAGGGGGTTAAACCCCCCAGGTGA